GTGAGCAGTGATTGTGCCACTGCACTCTGGCCTGGGCAATAGAGTAAACAACTGACTCAAGAAAAAAAAAAAGACACTATGAGCAGAGTAAAATGCAACCTACAGAATGGGAGAAAATATTTGCAAAGTATATATCTGATAAGAGATTGATATGCACAATATATAGAGAATACCAAAACTCAACAACAAAAATGCAAACAACCTACTTCAAAAATGGGCAAAAAATGAAAATAAACAATTCTCCAAAGAAGACATATCAGTGAAAATCACTAATCATTAAGGAAATACAAATAAAAGCTACAATGAGACCCATTAAGATAGCTAGTATAAAAAAAGGTAATAAGTGTTGTCAAAGATGTGGGAAAATTGGAACTCTTGTGCACTGTTGGTGAGAATGTAAAATTGCACAGTCACTGTAGAAAACAGTTCATCAAAAAATTCAAAAGAAAAATGTCCATATGATCCAACAATTCTACTTCAGGGTATGTATCCAAAAAAAAATTTTTTTTTTTGAGTTGGAGTCTTACTCTGTCGCCCAGACTGGAGTGCAGTGGCACTCTCCTGGCCACCGCAGCCTCGATCTGCTGGGCTCCGGCGATCCTTCCGCCTCAGCCTTCCAAGAAGCTGGAACTACAGGCGCGTGCTACCAAACCCAGCACATTTTTTTGATTTATTGTAGAGATGAGGTCTTGCCAAGTTGCCCAGGCAGGTTTCGAACCCACGGGCTCAGGCAATTCACTCACCTCGGCCTCCCAAAGCACGGGATTACAAGCTGAGCCACCAAGCCCGATCCCCCCAAAATTGAAAGCACAGTCTCAAAGATAAATTTGCACACCCATGTCATGGCATTATTTATAGTAGCTAGAAAGTGGAAGCAACCTGAGTGTCCACCGAGGATTGAATGGATAAACAAAATATGATATATACAAACAATGGAATATTATTTAGATTTATAGAGGAAAGAAATTCTGACATATGCTACAACATGAATGAAACTTGCGGACATTATTCTGAGTGAAATAAGCCAGTCATAAAATGACAAGTGTTGTATAATTCCAATTATATGCAGTACTTAATCAAAATCACAGAAACAGAAAGTAGAATGGTGGTTGCCAGGGGTTAGGGGCAGAGAAGAATGAGGAGTTATTATTTAATGGGTTTAGAGTTGCAGCTTTACATGATGAAAAGAGTTCTGGAGAGATGCACAAAATTATGAAACTTTTTTATTTTTTATTTTATTTCATTTTATTTGAGTTGGAGTCTCACTCTTGTCGCCCAGGCTGGAGTGCAGTGGCAAACTCACGGTCACCGCAGCCTCGACCTGCTGGGCTTAGGTGATCCTTTCGCCTCAGCCTTCCAAGTTGCTGGAACTACAGACACACAATACCATGCCTGGCTGGTTTTTGTGACTTACTGTAGAGACAAGGTCTCAGCAAGTTGCCCAGGCTAGTCACGAACCCCTGGACTCAGGCAATCCTCTCGCCTCGGCTTCTCAAAGCGCTGGGATTACAGGCTGAGTCACTACACCCAGCCTATGAATGTTTTTAATACCACTTACATGTATACTGAAAATGGCTAAAGTGGTACATTTTATGTTATGTATATTTTAGCACGATAAAAACATTGAAAAAAAAGACCAGATATCCTTGGAGAAATAGTTGATAAAATGGCTTTTTGAATTCTGACAAAACAAATCAGAGAGCCACACGTTAAACACGACAGAGGGGTTATTTATACTCACAAAGCATATCCATAAGGAAGATGTACAGTCCAACTTTTATGTATCTCATAAGAACAGCAGTGAAATGGCAAACCAAAACCTACTAGAGATATAAGTAGTAATAGATGAAATCACAATCATGATTCAAGACTTCAAATCACTTCAATGAGTAACTACATCCATAATCATGACGACAGCAACAGTGGGTACAGTGTACTGAGTTATAATTAGGTTCCACCTACTTGAATGGAATTTTATTTTTTAAGGGTCATTTTGGGTGTCGGGACAGATTGGGCACAAGGGCCCTAGTTTAGCAACCCCAGCTCAAGATCTTTGCCTTATTTCCTTTTCTTCACTGCACGTATCCCTAAATGAGCTGCAGGGCATGTGATACAAGCACATCTGCAACCCATTCACAGCACACAGGTGGAAACGCTACTGCAGAACACTGGAGTCCCAGAAACTGGTGGTGGCAGGTCCTCATATTTTTGTGCCATTTCTGTCCCACCTGCGGAAAACACGTGTTTAACCCATTCCACTACTCCCTACTCCTGAGATCCTAGTGCCATTGAGAGAGACCCATGTGACGCCTCAGAGAGGATGAGACGATCAAGAACCTTGCATTTGAAATTATGCCAATGAGTCTCAAAGTTGATATATCTATGAGGAAAATGTCCAAGGTGTACCACCGATAGGCCAGGCCTAGGAAAAAAAACAGATTCTGGACTTTGCTAAATTTTTTTTCTTTTTTTGCGTTGGAGTCTTATTCTGTCACCCAGGCTGGAATGCAGTGGCACGCTCACGGCCACTGCAGCCACGACCTGCTAGGCTATGGCGATCCTTCCACCTCAGCCTTCCAAGTCACGGGAACTACAGGTGCGAGCTACCACACCAGGCTTGTTTTATGATTTATTGTAGAAACGAGGGCTCACCATGTTGTCTGGGCTGGTCTCGAACCCCTGAGCTCAGGCAATCCTCTTGCCTTGGCCTCCCAAAGCGCTGGGATTACAGGCTTGAGCCACCGTGCCCGGCTGGATTTTGCTAATTAAAAGACAAAGGGAATGTATTCATCCATGCAACTGCTGCACCCCAGGAGCTAAAGTGATTTGCTCACACTGTAGTGGCCGAAAGTTCAATCCGAGAGACCACCAAGAGCCAATTCCGATAAAAGTTCAAGAGGGTCTTTATTTACAAGCTCGAGCCTGGACCTCTGTCAACAACCAACACAGTGGAGTACATTCAGAGGCCCTGATTTTCTTAAGCAGATGCCTTTTATGCTTTTACACAAAGGGAGGAGGAGTTTGGGGGGGCTTTCCAGTTTTGTTACCATTTAATTGGGTAGTTCCTCTGGTGGTCAGCTTAATCGTGGAGGATTGGCTAGCCTGACTCGAGCTGACCTTGGCCCACTGGCTAGGGAAGTTGCAGAGACATCTGGAAACTTAGGTGATTTCTCCCTGGCACCTGCTTGGTTGTTGCTAAGGGGAAAGTGAGACAAGGGAAGAATAACTGGAGCTTTGCAGTTTTTCCCATAACTGGAACTTTAAACAGTTATATGTTTTAAGACAGAAAACTAAAATTGGCTGTGCTATTGTTCACAAGTCGATTACATATTTATTGGGTTATAGCATGCTCCTAACCTAAGTCTATGGTATACTCTATTACGGTCCTCTCAATGCCAGTAGGATGTTTGTGAAACAGCAGCTGTGATTGCATCACCACCTGATAGGGCTTCCCAGAAACCAAGAACATTCTTCCACATCAACCAAACCGGAGAATTAAGTGAGATGGTGGTAGAATCCATGGTCCATGAATCTCTCAAGCCTAATGGTAGACTTCTCTGTAATTGTCACAGAGTATGGGGCTGCTTTGGAATGAGTACCTTCACAGGGACCTAGAGCTGCCACCTGCACCTTTCCATCCTAGGAGCCAAGGGGGGCATTCACAGAATGCAGGTTCCACTAGGGCCTGGATTTTATCCTTTTGGTTGAAGGCTAGATCCTCAGTGCGTAGAACAGTGCCAGGCACATTGAAGGGCATCCGCAAGGGTGTGTGGAGTGAACCAGTGTGTGAACGCCTGAACTCTACAGGACATTCACGCCTACTATGTTCCTGTGAGAAACTAATGACTAGCTGAAAAGTCTCACTAGGCCTGTAAAGCAAACTCGGAACCAAACTATCTGTACTCACTGACCAGGGAATTATGCGGGAATTATGAATTCCAGAACTGGGGGTAAGTTCACAGCCACTTTCCAGTGCTGCCCAAAGATCTAAATATACCCCTTCCCCGCGGTCACAGGTACCTGGTCAAATGCTGCTTGAGGAAAGACAAAAACCTTTTCACGTGGTGTTCTTGTGAGATTTTTAGGAACACACCATAGCCCGTGGGTGAGTAGCCTACCCTTCCTTCTAGGGGCTCTGGCTTGCCACTTAATTCATGTATGGAGTTGGGCTGCACTTCTTCAAAAGAGTAGATCTTTAGCCACCCTGAGGCTTATGTGCACCAGATCTGTAGATGTTTTGGAAAAAAGATCAACTAAGGTCATAATGATCAACTAAGTTTTGGAAAAAAGATCAACTAAGGCTTAACAATTTTACTCCTAGAAAACGAGTGATAAATTAGCCACAGCTAAGCATTATTGTTGACAAGGTAGCTCATTCACTGACTTTGATAACGTTTAACTTTAGCATGTCCCGGGCAATAAGAATAAAACAGACCGAAAAGAAAATAAAAATCCTGCGGGTGGGGAGTTCACAATACAGCATGGGGAGAAAGGGACATAGACGAATGATAACTATAACTATTTAGCCAATTGTGTAGGTGACAGGAGATGAAAACCGCTGTGAAAAAACAAAAACAGAACAGGCAGGGGAAGGGGAACGCACAATGGGAGTCAAATTGTAACAGTAAGCCACGCCTATTAACATGCTAGCCCTGATGCCTTGCCTCTTCAGTTACATTCTCGGTCTGGGATGGCTCCTTCAGGACTGTCTTGGGCTTCTGCCATCTGAAAGGATCTACTCCTGCTAATGCAAAACAAGGAATTTAAATTACAGTGCTGTTTCTCCGGCAATGTAACTAGCCAGCTTTAGCACGATTTTTAAAGGATAAGGCAATTCCCTAAGGTGAGTTCATGGTCCCCAGTGAGCTAGCTGGTCTCTTAACTGGATTTACCAGAAAAGTCGTATTTAAAATATCATTCAGGCATGCTAAGTTTTCAATTAAATCCACGCCCTCTGCTGCCCACAGAAGAAAAGATGCACAGGAAGTAAAAATGGCTTGCTATTTCGACCTTCGCACTGGGGTGATAGAAACTGCTCTCCAAGTATAGCAGGGCAGAATGCTCTCCACCACGACTGCGTCGACGACATCATATAATTGAGGTATGTATCCATCAGGAAGTTTCAGCGAATCCAAGGTGAAAAAGATGCTATCATCTAACACCCCATTTCTTCCATTAAGGCTAGTAATGCACACCTGCAAGTATAAATGATGATGAAGTCAATGTATATCGCATAATCTATGTATAGCATAATATCCTCTAACTGGCCCTGCACCTCCTCGCTCTGGCTCTAACCTGCAGGTCATTCCATCCCCATCAATGATTCCCAACATGGTTGGCACGTTGGCAGTAGTACCAGGGGTGCTTTGTGAAAATACCCATGCCCAGACCCCACCTTAACCCAAGTAAGTCAGAATCTCTGGGGGTGGGGCCTAGGTCTCTGCTGAGAAAGTCTGTTTTAAATTTTACGCACAGTGGCCATCAGCCTGTGTAGTTAAGGTTGAGAGAGTGAAAGGGGTTGCATGAGAAAGGAATGTGGTAGTAAGTAGACTATCATTTTTTCCCTATTCCTCAGTCACATTCCAGGCTCATTCCTTCATCTGTACCTGTGTTCAAAATGAACTTCCTTCTCACTGTCAGGCTCCACTACCCAAAGCATACCTAACTTTAACTGGAAAGCTCACATCCCACTACCCACTTCATACATTCTTTCCCAATAATTTTCAGGTATACCAGTTGTTTTCCTTCCTGTTGTTCTCAGAACATCTTAATAATATGATAATACCAAACAAACTGAAAGAACATCATAAAAAACTGAAAGACTTAGACCTGAATCATATGTGTGTGCTACACAATTTCCTAATTATTTTCTGTTGGGAGTCCTGTGATTTCAAGAAGAAAATAGGCTACTCTTGGGTAGCAAGTACATTTTCTAGATTTGCCAGCACACCGAATGGATTTCTAAGCATGAAAATTATCACTAAAAGAAAGGCTTGGAAGAAAAAAACGCATGACAAGTACAACGTGAAAACAAATTACCTCTTCCACAGGTTTACAGATCACGGGCTTCACTGAGCATGCCTTGATGTTTGAGGAGTCTGGCTCAACATAATACTCAACTTCTAACCAATCACCCTTATAGGGCACAAAACCTAAGACAGCCGTGGAGAAATGTGAGGGTAGTTATCTCTTAACTTAGGTCAGGTTACATTTCACATGTTACTGTTGTATGCCCTAAAATAGCTTTTATGAGATCTGAGGTTCATTTTGCACATACTTAAACAGGAAGCTTATAAATCTTTCTGTCAGAAAGAATTTTACACTCCTGTAGGCATTGATTCTCCTCTACTGATTTAACAAAATCAAATGGAGAAAAGTGTGAGCTGCGCGTCACAGCCAATCTAAGGGAGCATGACAGGATTTATTACACAATTGGTCACACTCACAACGCCTTCAAGAAAGGAAGGAAAGTACACACGTAAGAGTACACGTTGAACCCACTGATCTGTGTTTAAATCTTAACACTACCGCTTGGTAAGCAACCTTAGCCAGGGTGCTTAAAATCTCTGTGCCTCAGTTTCTTCATCTGTAAAATGAGAAGCACAATAACGGTCCTCATGCCTTAGAGGTGTTGTAATAATTAACCGATAGGCTTCAAACTTGTAGCAAAATGCCTGGCACATAGTAACCACCAAATAAATGTTGGTTGGTGTCAATAGCGGCAGATACACTAGGAGATATTGCTACACATGCGATTGTTGTGTACACCCGTGGCTGCAGGGACCAGGTGCAGAAGCAAATATGGTGGTGGGGGTTGGCACCTGGAGTCAGGGCCAGCTGAAGGCACACACACGATGGCAGGGTCAGCCACAGACACACATGCGCAGTGGTAGGGTCGGGGCCTGAAACACAGGCCCAGGCTGTTTGTCGGGGGCACCTGCAAGGTGGATGTGTGAGGCCCCTGGGTCCCCAATTGAATGAGAAGGAATCAATTTCCCAGGTGTTTTGGTCAGTTGACAACTCTGACATATGAACCTTCCGTTTTACAGTTACCAACAAATAGTTTCAAACTGAATTTACAGCAAGTCATCAGTGAGTCCCAGGATACAAAGATACTGGCAAGGATCTGGAGGAGCCAGAACTCTCACACATTGCGGGTGGGGGCGTAAACTGGCCCACCACTTCAGAAACCTGGCAACATCCACAAAGTTCAACATGACTTTACCTCCCAGCATGATAAAATGGTAAAAGACACAGCTCTTGGACCACCTGTCTCCTTCAACCTGTATACATTTCTTTGGGGTGACTTTATGGAATATTTATGGGATGATAGCTCCAGCATGTGTACACCCCCAGCTCTAACCAACCTCAGATTCCATTTTTCACACACCTACAGACCTTCAATGTGTCTAAAGCTGAGTTCGTGTTGTGCTTCTCAAGCACCCAATTCAACTCCTCTCCATCTTCCACATCTCAAATTGACAACTCCATCCTCAAAACAAAAATTTGGCAGTTACTGGCAGGAATGAGTGACATCAGCAAGATGGCAGAGTAGGTGATCCAAGCCACCTTTATCCTCAAAAGAGCTACAAGCGAACCGCTATACAGGAACAAAAATAGCTCTAAAAGAGCAGATGGATCCACTTAAGAAGTCACAGCAACACAGTGGAAAACAAACAAACAAACGAACAAACCAAAAAAGAATGCCTGCACAAAAGGGGTAGGGAGAACAGTTTCATTTTGCCTGCATCATCCCATCCCCCAGCTGACACTGCTCAGCTTGGAGAGAGAATTCCCCGGCTCGTGAGTTCCTCTAGCAGGGAAAAGGAGAGCGAGATGAGCAACCAGGTGCCCTGGCCTTTCAGGGCACTGCCTAAAATGAACCTGCTTTGGTTTCACCCCACGCCGAACGTGGGGGAAACCGCTAGCTGAGACATCGGGAGATGGTTAGTAACAAAGAAAAGGGGTGTGGCCATCAGTATCTGCCATGTGATGGGAACCACTATGGTCCCCAGTGGCCTGCTCTGCACGGGATTCTAACAGCCTTCTCTGCTGTGGACCTTGACAGTCCTTATAGCCTCTCACCTCTGAGGAAGGCAATAGCCTGCTCAGCCGCATAGGACAACCATTGCCTCCAAGGACCCCACCGTTCTTCACCTTTGCAGTCTCCAGCTGCTTGAACCACCAGCCCTCTTCCTCCCCTCTCCCTGGAATATCCCCAATA